CAGGCCACCGCCACCGCCACAGCTACTGCCTTATCCTTTGCTCCTTTTGTACTTCCGTACTATTTTCTACCTTTGTGAACAAACAGATTCGAAAAGGGCGGGGCCGGGGGCACCAAATCTGAAACGGAATGAAGCCCCGAGAGCCACTTGGAGCAGAAGTCAAGTTCCTGATTAGCATTTAGTAGGTCAGCTGTCACAGGAGCAAGGGGGAGGGGGAGGGGGAGGGGGAGGGGGAGGAAAAAACTTCGATTGAGGAAAAGACAGACAGAAAAGCCGGGAAAACTTTGATGGCGCACGCAATTTTCGGTTTATGCTTAACTAAATCGTATTATTTTTGCATTAACAAGAGAGCGGCACAAAACTTGACAAAGTTGTGTCTGTGCCCCCGCCCCTGCCCCTGCCCCATACATTTTTCATGGGAATCCGGCAGCTGTCTCTGCATCCTGGGCAGGATGTGGCAGCGCTTTATGGCCCAAAGATTGTTGCTTTATTAACTGAAACGAAATGAAACGAAAGGTTTAATTCGCTTGCCACTCGACGAACATACGGAGGATATTCTTTTATGGCCGCGATAAAAAGTTTAGGATCCCCGTACATTTACGATAGATGGATAGATACAAGAGTACTGGGTGGAACCTACTTTCGGGGGGGGGGCATGGAGGAGCACCTACTCGCAGCATCATTAACCCTCCTACCGCTGGATGGATGGATGGATGGATGGATCCTTTAGGGGTCTCATCATCATCATTAACCCACGTTTAAGCAATTAGTTATAGCCACCGAAATTCACTCTTCAGTGTCGGAGGACACTTTCAACTTTCGACGACGCATGCCACAGGCATGCGGGGCGGGGCGGGGGAGAGGCCTGCTCCAGTGCGCTGCTTGAGCCATAAAAAACTTTTGCATCTGCGATTAGAAGAGTCCCTCTTAAAGCCCCCGACTAGTTTATGGTTCTTGGGGGGGTTTTTTCTTCCTTGGGTTTTTCTTACATTTTTCTGCCTTCTTTTTTTGTCGTGTGGCATGGAAATCCTTGCCAATTAGAATGCTGCCCTGCCTGGGCGCATAAATTGTTGGCCTCTGCGGCGGCAGTGTCAAATAATTTAACCTAATTTGACACTTCAAATGTGCGGCGGGGCCCAGGCCCAGGCTGCAGGATGTGGCCCCGGCTGCTCCTCCTGGCTGCTCCTCTTGTCTGCTGCTCTGTCCCTTATCCTAATTTAAGTGTTTGTTGGCATACATTTCTCTGCGTGTTGGGTCGTTATGTCTGTTTAATATACAAAGGCCATGTCCCACAAAAACGGGAGGACATGGGATGGAGCCTCCTAATTCCTAATTCCCTGTTGTTCCTCTGTGTTCCTTGGACATTCCTGCCCTGCCCTGCCCTGCCCTGCCCTGCTCTGCCCCACTTAAGTATTTATTTTATTAATTTTTGTGGCTCCTGTTCACACAGATTAACCTACCAGCGGGTGGCGCTGAAGGAGATCCGGCTGCAGGAGGAGGAGGGGGCACCCTTCACGGCCATCCGCGAGGCCTCGCTGCTGAAAGAACTGAAGCACAGCAACATCGTGACGCTGCACGACATCGTGCACACCCGTGAGACGCTGACCTTTGTCTTTGAGTATGTGGTAAGTATCTTTGTTGCCCAGAGCCACACCCCTGCCCCTATTGACATGCCTCTCGGTCTCGCCTGCAGAACACGGATCTATCGCAATACATGGAGAAACATCCGGGCGGTCTGGACCATCGCAATGTGCGCCTGTTCCTCTTCCAGCTGCTGCGCGGTCTCTCCTACTGCCACAAGCGTCGTGTCCTCCATCGCGACGTGAAGCCGCAGAATCTGCTAATCAGCGACTGCGGCGAACTGAAGCTTGCCGACTTTGGCCTGGCCAGGGCCAAAAGTGTACCCAGTCACACATATTCGCATGAGGTGGTCACGCTCTGGTATCGTCCACCAGGTGGGTTTTTCCATACCAAAATGAGGAGAGAAGAAAGGATGAAAGCCAGGGCAAGGGTCACTGGCAGCTTATGGCTTAGAATCAGCATAGCATTAGGGATGTTTCAGCAGCAGGAAGCGCTCCTAGAAGCAGTATAACATAGAGGAAAGCATCAGCCTAGGAGGGCCCTGTTGAAGTCGAAGGAAGTTCCTTAGGAACTGTATCTCATGGCCATCCTTGAAAGAATTCCTTGAATTTCTTAAGCTCTCCAGAGGGAACGAAGGGTACCGAGAACAGTGCCAGATGCTGAGACCCATTAGGCATTGAGCTCCTGTTCGATGTACCCCAGAGCCCCCCCACCAATTCCCTGGAAAGCCCTTCCGCCATTCCCACGCTAATTGTGCATTCAGTGGGGTTCTACCCCGCAATTAAAATTAATCCCCTTTCGGCTTCCGGCAAACACCAAAAAGGATTTCCATGTATGCCATTTCTATCCACGAAAAAAGGCAAACCCTCGTCATATATCCCCAAACAATCTGTAGTTCAGAGAATGAGGACTCAAAATCCAAATCGCATTAAGTTTTTTGCTTGTTTTTTGCTTGTTTTTTGTGTGCAGTCGACACTAAAAGCTCTCTGGCTCTCTGGCTCTCAGCTCTCGGGGAAATGGCAGCCATTAATTGGCGCCACGAACGCCATTCAGGCTGAAAACTGTTCATTTAGGAGCTGGCAGCCAGGACTTGAGTTGGATTAAACTAATGCCAGGACTAAGCATACCCTGCCGCCTACCCCTACCCCCTACCCCCTATCCTATCTTTTGCTGACAAAGGGTAAACAATTCAGATTTTTCCATCAATTTGCCAGAGCTAAATGGAAAACTAATGGGGAAAAGCCAAACAGAGAGAGAGAGAGCGAAAGAGAGAGCCCCGAGAGAAATAAAGTTAATTTTTTCTAATATGCAATTCCACTGCCGCTGGCAGGCCAGGCCAAGCCATGGCAACATCATCATCATCCTTGTGGGGGATCTGGGGGGCATGCGGCATCCTGAAGCATGTTAAACAAATTTAATCTGCACTTCTTGGCAACGGCAGAAAAGGAGTAGCAAAATGCACAGGATGTGCTCGCCGGGAAAGCAGGGAGCGGATGTGGTGTGTTGTCGGCACCTGTCTATCTGTGTGTAGCTGTGTGTAGCTGTGTGTGTGTGTGTGTGTGGAAACTTTGTTAGCTGCTGGTCAAAAAGATAAGCATAAAGGTTGCCCCGGACAACCAGAACAGGACACACCTCCTGTACACCTCCTGTACACCTCCTCCTCCTTTCTGTATATAAAATTGCAATTTATTTTCACCCACAAACGGAGAAAAAGAGACACAGAGAGACACAGAGAGAGAGATAGTGGAAAGAAACTGCATTTACTTAGGAAAGTTTTGATGTTTCATGTTTCGTGTTCTCTGTGTATCCTGCAGATGTCCTGTTGGGCAGCACCGAGTACTCAACATCACTGGACATGTGGGGCGTCGGCTGCATCTTCGTGGAGATGGTGACTGGGATGCCAACATTCCCCGGCATACGTGATACCTACGATCAGTTGGACAAGATATTCAAATTGCTGGGCACCCCCACCGAGGAGACGTGGACGGGGGTAACCCATTTCCCGGGTTACAAGCCCCACAAGCTGGGTAAGTAATCGACCGACCATTCCATTGCCAATCGATTGCAACTAATTTCATGTGTATTCCCTGTATAGGCTTCTATCGGCCAAGGAAACTGGGTCACAATTTCCCACGACTGTACGACATCATCGAGGGCGAAACGATAGCGAACGCCTTCCTGCAGCTGAATCCAGAGGAGCGGATCGGCGCCGATGATGCACTGCTGCATCCCTACTTTGCGCAGTTGCCAAAGAAACTCTACGAATTGCCAGACGGTACGACCACCACCATCACCACCACCAGCAGATACCAACAGATTGAATTAAGGGGCCTTAAATATTTACAACATTTGCCGCCGGAACGAGCCAATGAGCCAATGAGTGAACGAGTGAACGAGTGAACGAGGAGCAACTTTGTCGCATTGTCTGTGTGGCCGGTCGGCAAGAAAACCAATTAACAGAAGCACTAGTACGATACTACGTCGAAAAAGAGAGGAAAATGTTTGCTTAAAGTTTGCCACCACTCCCCCCCCCTCCCTTTCGAGATTGAATGGAGGGGTCCTTCTCCTTCAATGGTAGGCTGCTTCTGCTGCTGCTGCTGTTGCTGCTGCTGAAGAAGTAGTCATTCTTTTGGGGGGACAACTCATTTAAGTTTCGCGACAATTTGTTTGCCTTTTCTCAGTGCTCCCTTTCAGCAGGGGCTGGGCCAGGGGCCGGGGCCGGGGCAGGGGCAGAAATGTTTTCTGAGGTATAGTTAACAGTAATTGCATTTCCCAGTTTTAATTTGTATCCCAAGTGGTGGCAAAACTTTGCTTTCCCAACAAGTTGGAGGAAAAACCGACTGAATGGAAACGTATAGAAATTGGTAGCCAGAATATCCACAAAGAAACCTAATTAGAAGACTTTTTCGAGGAATAAAAATCTCAGATAGTCCATCTATGGGATCTATAGGCAATTTGCAATCTGGAATATGGAATCCAAATCGATTACGATGCGCCCCCCAAAAGGCATTCAATGCAATCTGCAGTAAATAAAATTTACATTCACTTCCGACAGCCAGGATACTCGGGTATTCATTAGGAAGAGCCGCCCATTCGCTTTCTCTGGGCGAAAGAACATTTTGTAAATGGAAACAGTTTCAAGGAAGAGTAAAGGAACCCCCGAAAGCCAACCAACAAACAAACATCAACTTGTGGACTATGCAATTTGGCAAATGAAATGCAATCCAATGGTAGGGCCACTCCACTGCCACTCCACTGCCACTCCAGAGTGCAGTCTAGTGGTTGCAGTATCCAAAAATAAAAGAAACAAAAAAACACTAGGATAAAATGAATGAAGTGCAAATTCCCCTCCCAATCGAGGGCACAGCTTAAAGGGTGCTTAAAATGCGATTAACGCGTGATTTGTTTAGACAACCCCTGGCCCCTGGCCCCAGGACCCAGGACCCAGGACCCAGGACCCAGGACCCTGAACACCAAAATACAAACTAAACCCCGAAACCCATTTTTTCCATGTTCCATTTACGGGTTTTGCCGTGATTTATACAGAGGGGATAGAATGGCTGTGCAGTATGCTAATTTCTGTCTAAATCACAGTCGGGACCCGCGAGGGGAAAAACTTCCCTAATGAGGGGAGGGTGGAAAGTAGGGTTCTGGTCTGGTCAGGTCTGGTCTGGTCTCGTCTGTAAATTGGGGTTTGGGGCTATGCCGACAGATAGAATCAATTAAAATGCAACTAATGCGCTTCATTTATCATGGCCATGCGAAAAGGTCAACATACCCCGTGTGAGGTTTTTGCGGTCTTGCAGAGGGCAGCAGCGGGTTGTACCAGTGGCAGGGGCTCGTTCTGTGTGTCTGTGTGTCTGTGTGTGTGTGTGTAACCATATCATGTGACTGAGGGGGCGGGCTTTGGGGCAAATGCAATTTTGCAAAAGGCAATTTTAATTGCCGCATGCGCTCCATCGTCGTTGGCGGCCCGGCCCGGCCCGGCCGTAAATTAAATCATGTCATGGCCAGGAGGTCGTTCAGGATGTTGTCGTAACTTCAATATTTTTAATTACAATTATTATTATTTCTATACCCGGTAATCGAATGGTTTTTAGGGATATATGTATTCGTTTTGTGGTGCAAAAGGAAGCGTCTCCGATCCCATAAGGACCAGTCGATATAGCCATGTCGCTCTCTCTCTCTCTGTCCATCTGTCGGTTCGTCCGTCTCCAGACTGGTGTGCAACAATCTGTGTAATCCACAACTTTGAAGATACGATAAAGACCTAAACGCTGAAGGATAAGAGAATGACACTATCTAGCAGATTGCGGATTCTGTATCGGATTGACAGACATATTATGAATCAGTTTGGATCATTATTATAGCCAGAAAGAACAAATTACCAAGCTATGCCTCTATCTCGCTCTTATTCTCTCTCTCGCTCTTAATCGTGTAGTGGCGGAGGGGGGCGAGAGAGAGAGATATAGCGAAGAAATGGCAGCAGATTTCTATCAGTTTAATATTCGAATAAAATAGGTGGAAGTAGATGGAAAGCAAAGGGGATTAACGGGACCTTTAGAACATGTTTTTACCCATCTGTCATGGCAAGTTCGAGAAAAATTGAAAGAGATCGCAAAGAGATCCTTTGGTGGTCAGCGATACCAAATACACAGAGAGAGAGAAAATTGCCGGCACTTACGTATAATTACTTATAGAATATATATTGTATTATTATTTTTGTATTAATTGGTTCTTTCTCTGTCTAACTCTCTACAGAAACCTCAATATTCACCGTGGAAGGCGTGCAGCTGTACACGGAGCCAAATCGACAGAATAAATGAAAATTAAAGCAAGTCCTCTCTGTGGATGGCGTACGTTTCTATTGTTAGGGGATCCTAAAGCATAATCCTCGTAAAAACCCGAGCCCCAAATGAAATATATATACCCAGAGCCCCCCAATCAACCTCCTGGACTAGGCACAAGACATCCGTAAATCAATCGTATCAATCAACCTATCAACCAATCACTTCAGACAGCCATATAACCGACGAAGGAGTGTTCCAGTTGCAGACCTATATTTTTTTTTTTTTTGTACTATAATTCTATGATACTTTCTAGTTATTAGTTCCATTCGAAAGCGAGTGAGTGTAGCGCGGAGCGGAGAGAGTACTCTTCCAGTACGCAGATACAATTTCAGATACACCTAGATACACAGCAGATAGAGCGGTTGCAGCGGATACAGCGGCCAGCCAGTGGCATTTTATGTTCAGTCAAATTGTTAAATTTAGTTTAGATTTCTTGTATTTTAAGCAGACCATCGTGTCCCGTCCCGATCCGATCCCTTCTCAAACCCGCGGCCTTGTCAATAAGGATACTCAATTTAGTCAGTGCGCAGAGATATGTGCGTTTCGTGTTTAATGTTTTTTTTTGTTTTTTCATCATTTTTTTGCCCAAAATTGGGGATTGCGCAATGTTTTAGTGAAAGTCTCTGTCTGCGTGAAATGATATGTGAATGTGCGTGTACCCATATCCTACCCAAATATAATTTGCTCTTTAGTTTTTAGTTATTTTTGAGGGGAGGAATCGCCCTAATCGAGTGCAATTTACACAAAAATTGATGGATTGCTCGCTCAGTGCAAAAGTGGCATCAATTTTCACGCAATTTGTTCAGCGAAGCGATCCATCAAGCACTAAAAAAGAACAACATTATTTCTGATATGATTTCTCTCACAAGTCCTTTAGTTGGTTCCGCATATTTGCAGTACTATATAGTTTTTGTAATGCTTCTTTGTCAATCAAATAAAATGGGGGGTGTTCGCCGCGCTGTTTAAGTGATAATTTTATAATTATTAAATGAATTTATGTAAAAACAAATAAATTTAAATCATTTATACCATTTAATTTGTTGCATCTTTTGATTATTTGATTATTGTTTATTAATTGATTCTTTTCTGTACCTTTTAAGTTCCTAAATTAGTGAAATACTCCATCCATTTAGGCGAATGAATGTAGTGTGTCGAGAGGCGATTCGAGTCGAGTCCCGAGTGAGCGACGAGCGAAGAGCGAGGAGCGAGGAGACCCCCAGGAGGGAGGCTGATTGATTGAATCATAAACATTTTGGAGGCAAACGTAAGCGAACGAACGAATACTAGATAAACAATTAAATTTAGCAAAGAAGCGCAAATAGTAGAGTGAAATTTTTAGCAATCGACCGAAGGAAAGTACGAGTAAATTCGACATTAAATAGCCATCAAATCAAATCAAATCAAATCAACTAAACACTAAACACTAAAGTAACCTAACCAAATACGAGTATTTTACATAGAGTTTGTAGCGCAAGAATCGCAACCAATGAATCCAAAATCCAAAATCCAGAATCCATTAATCCATTACCATATTTCTAAGAAACGTTACGTACGATATAGGACCCAACGCCGATGAGAGGACGCCCGCTGAATACGGCGGGTCGCGGCGATTTTAAATGAATGAAATGAAGAGCTAAAAAAATGTGCAAATTTGAAATCAAAGACACTTGAGACGGTTTTGAAACAACAAGTAAATGAATCAAAAACGATTTGAGTATAGAGCAACTAAAGCGTAGAACAAAATATATTATGAATATCTATCTCAAATAGATATACATACGTATACATATACATAGATCTATCTATCGGAACGTAAGGACGAGCACATTTGAGTCGTATGCAATCAAATTGCTGAGATGAGAAGAGAAGAGAAGAGATGAAAATTACTGATGAAGGTTTTATGAAAGGCAAAGGCCTGCAGCCCCCAAGCAAAGAACGAGAAACTTTGTGGGGGCTTCAAATGGTACATGCAGGCCATTGCTAGACTTTTGGCAGGCAGTGTGCCACGATCAATGCGCGCGTTTTCGTAGCGATACCAGATTATATTTTGTAGCAAAAGTAAAAAAAAAAAATTAAACTAAAACAAAGAGAAAACAAAAAGAAAAACCAAAACAAAAAAATATTTCAAATGAATAAACTTTTTCTGTGATTTATGAAAAAAGTATGCAAAGACAGACACAGACACAGACAGACAGATAGACACAGACACAGACATAGACAGAAAGCACACAAAAAAACACTCCAGCATGAAGATAAACTAAACAGAAACTAAAACTAAAATGAAAATGAAAATGAAAAATTAGGCACTTTAGAGAGAAAACAAAACTCAAGTAGTAGATGCTGGCGCAAAGCGAAAATTGTTTAGAATTATTTGCTAGCCAGAGAAACAAAGAAAAGTACATTAAAATGAACCGAAATTTGCACACACTCAAAATTAATGAATGCCAAAAAGCATTGGGAAAAGTTGTTCGAGAGGTAAACACTGGATTCCGTTCTATATATTTTTGGGTTTCCTGCGAATTTTCACCCATAAAAATTGAGCAGGGGCAGATAGAGATACAGAGTAACAGTAACAGAAACAGAAACAGATACAGATAAAGAGAGATGAAAGATGAAAGAACAGAGGTAGTGACATTGTAACGAAGCATGGCAACGCACTTTTTGCACTTTTTCCCATCCCGAAGGTTACGTCCATAGTTTGTAAGCCAATGGCCAATGGAAACAACAAATCGAATCGAACGAATATGAAACAAACGAAGATTGAACTGGTTTTCGTTTCTATTTTGCAATCTAACGGATACACGTATCGATGCTTTTTCGAGGCATTTTTCTCTAATTGAATCAATCCTTTTGCACAACATTCGCGAAAAAAAAAACCAAAAAAAAAACCCCCAAGAACAGATTAAACGACAATTTAAATAAGAGAAACAGAAACCGAAACAGAAACAGAAAGAAACTAAGCTAATCCCTAAACGTAATCGAAATGGTACATAAACTAAGAATGTTTTTAGCTGAACGTGTCTAGTGGTATTCTATCTATATATAGTATATATTGTCCCCCTACCCTATGTCCTATAGACAGACATAGCGATAGAGTTAGAGATCGAGAGCGAGCCCTGGGAGGAGGAGCCAGAGAAGGAGGAACGAAAGGTAAAATCTATTTGGAACGGGGAGATACGTGTACGAGATTGAAAGATCCACATAGAGGGATACGAATGAGATAACTTAAATATTTTTAATGCATTGAATTTGTCGTAAATATTTAATGTACCTTTGTTAAAAACAAAATAAATCTATTAACACAAATCAAGTAAAGCAAATTATGAATAGATGGAGCATGCAATTTTTTTTGTGTAGTTATAGGGTTAATCACGGGTACAACTCACCCCGCACCCAAACTTCCCCCCAGCGACCCGCCCCCACCCCCTCCCAAACCCCATTTCCTTCCCCCGAGCAGAGTGTGGAGAAATTTTGTAAATATTTGTAGTTGATTTCTAAGTAGCGAAACGATTGTATGGGCTAAATACTCGTAATATTGAGAATCGGATACGGAATACAGAATATTGAATGTTTATGATTTACGATCTACCATGCAAAATGGATGGCAACTAAATACAATTTGAATAAGTTCAACCTGTACAATAATTTAATATTAAATACAAATAAAAATGGCAAAAGCCAGCGAAAAATAATCTAGAGCACACCATAGTATTATTAGATGGCGTCTGTCCCACTTTGGATGGATCTCAGATGATGGCATGATGAATGCCTGGTCCTTCACCCATAAATAACAATCTAAGCTAATAATTTCTGATGACTGAAAATGTTGGCATGCTCTGAAATTAACCCCGTCTCCCGCCAATTGAAATGCTTTGGTGAATGACGACGATTCGGTTGTTGGGGGAGGAGCGCCCCAGCATCATCATCCCAGCCCCAAAAGCAGACCCAAAAGCATTAATTATGTAAATGACACAACTCTTTTTTTATATTTGGGGGCCTTGCAAATGGCAAACAATATATTGTATGTACATGAGGCTTTTTTCTCTATGGGCTGGCTGCCTCCCGATTGCGTCATTCGTCTTGGCTGTAACTGGAAAGAGATGAGCTTGGGGCCCAGTCTTGGGGTCCGTCTCTGTGCAGCGTATCTGCCGGCAATCATCTCTGCACGATTCCGCAACAGATGGCCGGGCGAAAGGTTCCTGAAGCATCAATTGACCAACCTTCAGAAACCTATAGCCGTTCGTCATGGCATTATAATTTAGCAATAACTAAAAAAAAAAAACAGTGACACAATGCGGAACACAGGCAGCGCCAAAGGTAACTCTGCACTTCGTGAACAAGCTGTAAAATCCAATGTAAAAAGTGCATTGCATTCAATCACATCCATATTCATGCGACTCGTGAGGTTTTTTTGAACAAACGATGCCGTCTAAGGCCAGAATCCATATAAATATGGCTATAAATAGACGGACATCAAAGGGGGAAATACAGCGACCGCTGCAGAGGCTACGTACGAACGTGGACGGACGGACAGCTGTCAGGCATTCCCTCACATCGGATTACTCATAGCAAGAAAGGGTCTTTCTTATCGGCCAGCAGTCCGTAGTTGGCCATGAGCAAACATTTGCATATGGATCGGATCGGACTACAGGTTGAGGCAGGTTTACAGCAAGTGTCAATGAACAAGCTTTGCATATCATTCACAAGTGAGTGATTAATATGGAAAACAACACACTACTACAGCGATGATGAGGTAATGGAATTCCCAATTGAGAAGCCAGAGATTAAGGTTCCTACAAAGTAAAGAAGACAATCCCTCCCCACTTCTTCGAATACTCAATCAATTATTATCAGCTGACGATCGCCACTCAATCACCATATAACAGAACTATTTTGCATGCCTCTCCCGTGCTAAGTAGTCGCACGAGTGATTGACAGCCAGCCCCCTCCCCCTGCCCCCGCAAAGTAACCAAAAGCCCGAGGGGGTTTTTCGCCAGTCTTCGACGCGGACAGACATGTAAACAAAGCAAGACAATCCCCTCCAAGACTCAGCAAAAGAAGCCCAGGTCCGATCTTCTCTTGATCTCTCGGAAGCTTCGCTGAGAAAAAGCTCGCGTGGGCCAGCCGACCCACAGCCGACCCACAGCCGAGTGTGGTGTGGCGGCTCTTTCGTGCTTGCTCGTTTAATTGTCTCGCGAATCTTGCCCGGAACGGTCGTACTCGTGCTCGTGCTCGTTGGTTCGTTCTTCAGTTCGTTCGGTTTTGCATGCACCCAAGGCTAGGTGCCGAATCTTGTGTATGACTGATTGATTGACGGACGGACGGACAATCAATCAACACGTACATATATTCGATCAAAGTGATATTATGATGCGGCCCCAATTAGAAGCGATGGCCATCGCCTGCGCCTGCCTCTTGGCGGCGATCTGTGTCTGCGACGGCTCCTCTCTGGTGGAGCCACCTACGACCCAAGCGCCTCCAACACTGTCGCCAGCCCATGTGCGGTCGCGCCTGCGCACCAACTTCCGAGTGCGTTACACTTTCTGACTCTTCAGAAATTTTAAAATTAGTCTCGGGTGGTTTTGGGCAGCAAGTCTCGTTTGGCTCCAGCAAGTTCAATGCGCTGGCCTCGTGTGTTTGCTTTTGTCCGGGGTTTTTTTCCGCTTTTTTTCTTGCCCAAGTGACTGACTCTTCCCCTCTGTCCTTCTGCCCTTAGGCCAGCCCCGTGAGTGGCACAACGACTCCGCCCCGCTGCGAGTACAAGGAGCTGATGACGAATTTGCACGATCGAGTGGGCATCTTGGCGACCTTGGACGAGGACCAGCGCCATCGCCTGGAAGTCATCGATAAGAAGTGAGTAGACTTTGGGCCCCCAGCTCTCTGGCCCGAACAGGTTTATCGATGGGCACGTAATGAAATATTTTTGGGAAAAAAACCGGTAAAACAAAACAGCAAGAAACAACATCGTCTATTGGAAACGTTGGACTATCATCTTCTTTTATTGTTTCGTTGTCAATCCACCGAATCCGACACCCAAATGCGATTTATTTGGCAGAACAATGCTTCAACAAGCAATCTTTAATGATGATGCTCAAGTGAGATGGTAGCAATTATCCATGAATGAAGCAATGCCCCAAAAACATCTGCTGCCCAGCAATTGCTGGCCATTAAACTGTTGTATGTACACATTATCTTTTTTTTTTTTTTTGCTGAAATTTCTGCGAGATTTCGCACTGCCGCCGCCGAAAGCCCCCCAGACACCAGAGTGTTTATAATTCGGTCATGTTTGAACAGCACTCGCTGTGCCGCCGCCTGTTTCGTTAATATATTTAAGGCTTTTGTGTCTATAATTGTGGTTCTTATTTACGATTGGTTTTCGATGGCAAGAAGCAAATGCCAAGTTCTTTCCTTTGCTTTGCTGTTTTCTTGATAAACGAGCGGAATTTTTAAAAGCGAAAGAGAATGTTGTACACAAAGACTGACTGAAATAGAGAGACTTACTTAGAACAGCTTCTGTGGCGATTAGAGGTCGTCAAATGCGGTCGCAGAGATTGTGCGAGTGAGAGCAGTGGTACTGATTGTTGTGCTTTGTTGTCAGCTGGCAAATTCTAATCTTGTAAACTCATTGTTTTGCTATTCGCAGACTGGATCAGCTGGTGGACAGCAATGCCGCTCGCATGGAGTCCCTGAAGGCCCAGCAACTGAACTTCCAGCAGCGTCTGGACAGCTTCGAGCACATCCAGCGGCTCTCGCGCAGCACCCTGGACGAACTAAAAGGTGAAACAGACTTGACCCTGGGTCCCCGAAGAGTTAGGGAGTTGAAGCAAAAGCTAAGAAATCGCAGAAAGATGAAGGGTAATCCTGCATGCTGACCTCGATGTTGTGCGGCGAATGTGCTTGGTGTTGTGCTAACTCTGTGCTATCCGCAAGGAAACCCCTCTCTAATACTCCTCTCTTTACCGCAGATCTGTCGCGTGTTGTTCGGGCTGCTCCCCAGCAGGATGCTCCGTTCCCAAACTCGAGTTTCGGTAATAACAATGATTTAAGTGTTACGGATCGCTTGGACGCCTTGGCCACGCTGCTCACCTCCACGGCTCTGAGTGTGAGGGGGGTGCAGGAGGATGTCCTCAAGCTGACTCAAGCAATCAAGTAAGCAAAGAATAATGAATAATGCACTCCTTCCATGGGTGTAACGCAGATCCCTTTCCCCTTCTCTATTAGCCGCCAGCGTCGCCTGTCGCATCGCAGGGTTCCACCCAACCTCATCGGGCAACCAGGAGCTGCTCCCTTCCCCGCCTATCCCCGTTTGAGTCCGCCCACCAGCTGCCTGCAGTACTATCTGTCGGTGCAGGGCATACTGAAGCTGCAGCTCACCCCAGAGTCGGAGTCCTTCTATGTGGCCTGCGACGGCGACTGGACCGTGATCCTCAACCGGAGCTCCGACGAGATCAACTTCGAGCGTGGCTGGCTGGACTACAAGGATGGCTTCGGCAATCTGGCCGGGGACTTCTTCATTGGCCTGAACAAACTGCACGCCCTGACCTCTTCGGCCATCCACGAGCTGCGGATCGTGTTCGAGGACTTCGAGGGGCATGTGGCCTATGCGGGCTACTCCACCTTCGCCATCGGCAGCGAGAAGGAGCTGTACCCGTTGAGCCTGCTGGGCCCGTTCCAGGCGGATTTGAGTCCCTCGGCAGGGGACTCCCTGTCCTACCACGCCGGGGCCAAGTTCAGCACCGTCGACAGCGACAACGACAACTGCGTCGACTGCAACTGCGCGCAGAAGCACAATGGAGCCGGCTGGTTCAACAACTGCGGCACCAGCAACATCATGGGGCAGTACCACCAGCAGAACTATGCCCAGGCCGGCGAATCGGGTGTCTTCTGGGACACCTTCCAGGGCAAGGACTACTCGCTGAAAAGGGTCCGCATGATGATACGCCCCATCGGCGAGGAGGAGGCCCGGCGCTAAGCCATGATACTCTCTGTTCCGCTATGTGTTGTATTGGAACTGCCATTTTTCGTGTAAATCAGGGATCCCCAAGCCAAGAACCCGCTACAGCCTCCAGCGTCGATGAGTGTTCGCTTTCTTATGCATTTTAACCCTAGCCTAGCTTTATTCCCGAACTTGTGCGTGTACTCGTATGTGTAATATTTATGGAAAATTACTTAATACCTAGATAATACAGTAATGTTATGTGTATCCATTACATCGAGAGTACTGCCTAGACCGGAGCGGAGCTCTCTCCACACGTATGTACGTCATGCGGCACCGGAGATGTTTACTAATCGGTCGACTTGTCTAACATGCGATGCCTCCAGCATGCAATGATAGACTATATAAACGGGGCAGCTCTGGAGGGGCTGCTAGTCGTTCGTGCGTTTTCCGTGGAGTAATCTAAACATGGTCAAGACAAGCTTTTGCCTAGTGCCCCTCTTCTGCCAGCTATGGGGTCTTCATGCCGCGCTGCTGGACTCCCTAGTGAGTCAGAGCAACATCTATTACCTGGGGCCCACGTCGGAGCTGCCCTTGCAGAGCGTGGACCAGGTGGCAACGGTGGACTCGGTCAAGCTGATTGTCCACGGCTACTTGGCCTCGCGGTCGCACGGCTCCATACTACCCCTGAGGAATGGTGAGGTCTAGCCGGCTGTTTCAGCCTTTAATGCCACTGCTAACGCTGCCCAATCCCCAAGCGTACAGCTCCCAGGGCTATGAGAATGTCCTGGTGGCTGACTGGTCGCCTGCCGCCAGTCTGGACTATCCCACCTCGCGATTTGCCGTGGGAAAGGTGTCCCTGGCCCTGGCCAAGGAACTGCAGAGGTTCCTCCTCCGACACAGCATACCCACCGCTGCTGTCCATGTGGTAGGACACAGCTTGGGGGCTCACATAGCTGGCCGCATTGGCCACTACTTTAATGGAACTCTGGGAAGGGTTACGGGTCTCGATCCTGCGCTCCCCCTGTTTACCCAGCGCTCCGTTGACAGTCTTCGCTCGAATGCAGCTCAGTTTGTGGATGTTATTCATACGGATTACCCGCTCTTCGGCGACATAAGACCCCGTGGAACTGTGGACTTTTATCCCAACTTTGGATTCGCCCCGCAGCCGGGCTGTGAGGACGTGGACTTAATTGCTGCCAGTAAGCTCCTTCGCGAAGCTTGTAAGCGACTTCTCCCCATTCCGTTTTTACCGATTCATCTTTCCCCTACCTCCCAGACAGCTGCAGTCATAATAGAGCTGTGATGTTCTACGCGGAGTCCATAGGAATGCCCCGAAACTTTCCAGCTATTCCCTGCAGTTTGAAGGCCATCAAGAGTCGTCATGTGGATAGTTGCCTGCGGGAGGCTAGGTCGAGGCCAAGTCAGAGCGGAACGGCATCTGAAAATATGGTTGATTCTGAGGAGGTTTTCATGGGAGAACAGGTTAGCCGCAGGTGAGAGAATTAACGGAAATTTCAGTTCAAATTTTCAAAGTACATTTTCTTGCAGCGCCACCTCCTATTTTTTCTTGGCTACTAACGGAGCGCCACCTTACGGCAAAGGAATAAACTCAAAGCTGGCTAAAAAGAGACGCTAGGCGGCGTCTTCAGCCCAGTTTCATATTTAAAGTGGAATAGTAACAGCTTATATAGCTTTTTAGAATTTTTTCAAAATAAATTCTGCCTTCGGTACAGAAAAAACCAGTATTTTAATGGTGTGAAAATCAGAATCTTTGGAATGCTATATCTCAGGATCTCTCGCCCAGGATCATGGAGATCCAGACAGTCGATCGGCATCGAAATCTCGACTACGAAAATGAGGCCGATTTTTGGCAAATTCAATGATGGTTACATCATGATTTTTTGCGAAAATCGTGAGGACATAGATGTCCTTTTTTCTAGTGCCAATCGATTGGCAGGATTCTCCCGATCCCGAAAAGACATGCCAGGCCCCGATCGGCCGCTGTTTGACCGAGATATAGCCTGCAGAAGAAACCAGTATTTTAATGGTGTGAAAACCAGAATCTTTGCAGGGCTATATCTCAGACAAATGGGGCCAGATCGGTGCAGGACCCACTCGCCCAGGATCGGGGAGATCCAGACAGTCGATCGGCATCGAAATCTCGACTACGAAAATGAGGCCGATTTTTGGCAAATTCAATGATGGTTACATCATGATTTTTTGCGAAAATCGTGAGGACATGGATGTCCTTTTTTCCGGTGCCATTCGATTGGCAAGACTCTCCCGATCACGAAAAGACATGCCACGCCCCGATCGGCCGCTGTTTAGCCAAGATATAGCCTGCAGAAGAAACCAGTATTTTAATGGTGTGAAAACCAGAATCTTTGCAATGCTATATCTCAGACAAATAGGGCCAGATCGGTGCAGGACCCACTCGCCCAGGATCGGGGAGATCCAGACAGTCGATCGGCATCGAAATCTCGACTACGAAAATGAGGCCGATTTTTGGCAAATTCAATGATGGTTACATCATGATTTTTTGCGAAAATCGTGAGGACACAGATGTCCTTTTTTCTAGTGCCAATCGATTGGCAGGATTCTCCCGATCACGAAAAGACATGCCAGGCCCCGATCGGCCGCTGTTTAGCCGAGATATAGCCTGCAGAAGAAACCAGTATTTTAATGGTGTGAAAACCAGAATCTTTGCAAGGCTATATCTCAGACAAATGGGGCCAGATCGGTGCAGGACCCACTCGCCCAGGATCGGGGAGATCCAGACAGTCGATCGATTGGCAGGATTCTCCCGATCACGAAAAGACATGCCGCACCCCGATCGGCCGCTGTTTAGCCGAGATATAGCCTGCAGAAGAAACCAGTATTTTAATGGTGTGAAAACCAGAATCTTTGCAAGGCTATATCTCAGACAAATAGGGCTAGATCGGTGAAGGACCGACTGTCCCAGGATCGCAAGGATCCAGCCTGTCGATCGGCATCGAAATCTCGACTATGAAAATGAGGCCGATTTTTGGCAAATTCAATGATGGTTACATCATGATTTTTTGCGAAAATCGTGAGGACATAGATGTCCTTTTTTCTAGTGCCAATCGATTGGCAGGATTCTCCCGATCACGAAAAGACATGCCGCACCCCGATCGGCCGCTGTTTAGCCGAGATATAGCCTGCAGAAGAAACCAGTATTTTAATGGTGTGAAAACCAGAATCTTTGCAAGGCTATATCTCAGACAAATAGGGCTAGATCGGTGAAGGACCGACTGTCCCAGGATCGCAAGGATCCAGCCTGTCGATCGGCATCGAAATCTCGACTATGAAAATGAGGCCGATTTTTGGCAAATTCAATGATGGTTGATTTTTTGCGAAAATCGTGAGGACATAGATGTCCTTTTTTCTAGTGCCAATCGATTGGCAGAATTCTCCCGATCACGAAAAGACATGCCAGGCCCCGATCGGCCGCTGTTTAGCCGAGATATAGCCTGCAGAAGAAACCAGTATTTTAATGGTGTGAAAACCAGAATCTTTGCAAGGCTATATCTCAGACAAATAGGGCTAGATCGGTGAAGGACCGACTGTCCCAGGATCGCAAGGATCCAGCCTGTCGATCGGCATCGAAATCTCGACTATGAAAATGAGGCCGATTTTTGGCAAATTCAATGATGGTTACATCATGATTTTTTGCGAAAATCGTGAGCACATAGATGTCCTTTTTTCTGGTGCCAATCGGTTGGGAGGACTCTCTCGGTCACGAAAAGACATGCCAGGCCCGATCGGCCGCTGTTTGACCGAGATATAGCCTGCAGAAGAAACCAGTATTTTAATGGTGTGAAAATCAGAATCTTTGGAATGCTATATCTCAGACAAATGGGGCCAGATCGGTGCAGGACCCACTCGCCCAGGATCGGGGAGATCCAGACAGTCGATCGGCATCGAAATCTCGACTACGAAAATGAGGCCGATTTTTGGCAAATTCAATGATGGTTACATCATGATTTTTTGCGAAAATCGTGAGCACATAGATGTCCTTTTTTCTGGTGCCAATCGGTTGGGAGGACTCTCTCGGTCACGAAAAGACATGCCGCACCCCGATCGGCCGCTGTTTAGCCGAGATATAGCCTGCAGAAGAAACCAGTATTTTAATGGTGTGAAAACCAGAATCTTTGCAATACTATATCTCAGACAAATAGGGCCAGATCGGTGCAGGACCCACTCGCCCAGGATCGGGGAGATCCAGACAGTCGATCGGCATCGAAATCTCGACTACGAAAATGAGGCCGATTTTTGGCAAATTCAATGATGGTTACATCATGATTTTTTGCGAAAATCGTGAGGACATAGATGTCCTTTTTTCTAGTGCCAATCGATTGGCAGGATTCTCCCGATCACGAAAAGACATGCCAGGCCCCGATCGGCCGCTGTTTAGCCGAGATATAGCCTGCAGAAGAAACCAGTATTTTAATGGTGTGAAAACCAGAATCTTTGCAATGCTATATCTCAGACAAATGGGGCGAGATCGGTGCAGGACCCACTCGCCCAGGATCGGGGAGATCCAGACAGTCGATCGGCATCGAAATCTCGACTACGAAAATGAGGCCGATTTTTGGCAAATTCAATGATGGTTACATCATGATTTTTTGCGAAAATCGTGAGGACACAGATGTCCTTTTTTCTAGTGCCAATCGATTGGCAGGATTCTCCCGATCACGAAAAGACATGCCAGGCCCCGATCGGCCGCTGTTTAGCCGAGATATAGCCTGCAGAAGAAACCAGTATTTTAATGGTGTGAAAACCAGAATCTTTGCAATGCTATATCTCAGACAAATGGGGCGAGATCGGTGCAGGACCCACTCGCCCAGGATCATGGGGATCCAGACTGTCGATCGGCATCAAAATCTCGACTTCGAAAATGAGGCCTATTTTTGGCAAATTCAATGATGGTTACATCATGATTTTTTGCGAAAATCGTGAGGACATAGATGTCCTTTTTTCTGGTGCCAATCGGTTGGGAGGACTCTCTCGGTCACGAAAAGACATGCCGCACCCCGATCGGCCGCTGTTTAGCCGAGATATAGCCTGCAGAAGAAACCAGTATTTTAATGGTGTGAAAACCAGAATCTTTGCAATGCTATATCTCAGACAAATAGGGCCAGATCGGTGCAGGACCCACTCGCCCAGGATCGGGGAGATCCAGACAGTCGATCGGCATCGAAATCTCGACTACGAAAATGAGGCAGATTTTTGGCAAATTCAATGATGGTTACATCATGATTTTTTGCGAAAATCGTGAGGACATAGATGTCCTTTTTTCTAGTGCCAATCGATTGGCAGGATTCTCCCGATCACGAAAAGACATGCCAGGCCCCGATCGGCCGCTGTTTAGCCGAGATATAGCCTGCAGAAGAAACCAGTATTTTAATGGTGTGAAAACCAGAATCTTTGCAATGCTATATCTCAGACAAATGGGGCGAGATCGGTGCAGGACCCACTCGCCCAGGATCATGGGGATCCAGACAGTCGATCGGCATCGAAATCTCGACTTCGAAAATGAGGCCGATTTTTGGCAAATTCAATGATGGTTACATCATGATTTTTTGCGAAAATCGTGAGGACATAGATGTCCTTTTTTCTAGTGCCAATCGATTGGCAGGATTCTCCCGATCACGAAAAGACATGCCGCACCCCGATCGGCCGCTGTTTAGCCGAGATATAGCCTGCAGAAGAAACCAGTATTTTAATGGTGTGAAAACCAGAATCTTTGCAAGGCTATATCTCAGACAAATAGGGCCAGATCGGTGCAGGACCCACTCGCCCAGGATCATGGGGATCCAGACTGTCGATCGGCATCAAAATCTCGACTTCGAAAATGAGGCCGATTTTTGGCAAATTCAATGATGGTTACATCATGATTTTTTGCGAAAATCGCGAGCACATAGATGTCCTTTTTTCTGGTGCCAATCGGTTGGGAGGACTCTCTCGGTCACGAAAAGACATGCCGCACCCCGATCGGCCGCTGTTTAGCCGAGATATAGCCTGCAGAAGAAACCAGTATTTTAATGGTGTGAAAATCAGAATCTTTGGAATGCTATATCTCAGACAAATGGGGCCAGATCGGTGCAGGACCCACTCGCCCAGGATCGGGGAGATCCAGACAGTCGATCGGCATCGAAATCTCGACTACGAAAATGAGGCCGATTTTTGGCAAATTCAATGATGGTTACATCATGATTTTTTGCGAAAATCGTGAGGACATAGATGTCTTTTTTTCTAGTGCCAATCGATTGGCAGGATTCTCCCGATCACGGAAAGACATGCCAGGCCCCGATCGGCCGCTGTTTAGCCGAGATATAGCCTGCAGAAGAAACCAGTATTTTAATTTTGTGAAAACCAGAATCTTTGGAATGCTATATCTCAGACACTCGCCCAGGATCGGGGAGATCCAGACAGTCGATCGGCATCGAAATCTCGACTACGAAAATGAGGCCGATTTTTGGCAAATTCAATGATGGTTACATCATGATTTTTTGCGAAAATCGCGAGCACATAGATGTCCTTTTTTCTGGTGCCAATCGGTTGGGAGGACTCTCTCGGTCACGAAAAGACATGCCGCACCCCGATCGGCCGCTGTTTAGCCGAGATATAGCCTGCAGAAGAAACCAGTATTTTAATGGTGTGAAAACCAGAATCTTTGGAATGCTATATCTCAGACAAATGGGGCCAGAT